TATATATAGTACTTAAAAAGAACATACAGTTTCATTTTATGTTATTTTTGGCCTACCACCTCTTCGTCCATCCTCTCACCCTCCACTGTTTTTTTCTTCTGGTTTTCACCCCTTTATGGTTCTCATCAAACCAATTTTTATTAACCCAATAAACCAGATCAATCTATGGTATAGCAATAAATTCACGGTATGTAAATAAATGGTTTCTTATTGTAAATTTTGGTACCTGCCAAATATCCTTGGTAACTCAATAGATAGCAAAAAATTCACAATTCGTAAGCAAATAAATATCAGACACTGACACATAGCTATTTTATCTGTTTAAGAAATACTTCCTCCGTTCCTTTATGTAAGGTGTATTATTTTGGGCACGGTGACCAAGACGCACAATTATAGAGGTGTTGGGACAAAAGTATCTTAGCAAATTTGTTGGTTAGTGGCAAGTAAATCAGTGAGTCCAGAAAAGTAAGAGATGCATGCAATGAAGCGAAAGATAGTTTCCTTCTTTTTACACAAGGAGAGATACATGAAATCAGGAGAGAGATACTTTCCTCTTTCTGGAGGGATAAAAAGGGAATTATAAGGATTTATAAGAAATGCACTTTACATTGTGAAATTTTATCAAAAAACAAATACACTTTATATAAAGGAACGGAGGGAGTAATAAAAATTATGCTTTACTAACTAGTTTTCCGTTCGTTGCAACGGGGAATAAATATTCTAGTGGTTTAATATCAATCTTGTCTGACATATACCTTACACCCACCATATTATAGATTTTGTTAAGATTTGATTTGATTTGAGTATGCGTACAAGAAAACCAAAAAGTTTTGATTTAGTGGAGGTTTTTAGTAAGATTCAATTTGATTTGAGTATGGTTAGGGTAAGACAAGATTTCTTTTATTTGGTAGTATTAGTTTAGTTGAGGTTTTAGTATGATTTGGTTTTTGCATACAGGTGGGAAAGGCAAAGATTTTATTTATATAGTTGAGATTTTGGTAAAATTTGATTGAGTTAATGCAAAATGTGGTTTGTTAAATATACTGATTTGGTTTAGATTATTCTAAGTTATTCTATTTATGTTAAATTTTATTTTTGCAACATCGGTTAAGATTACTAAAAAAATCAAAGGAGGGAGGGATATGGGAAGTAAAAAACCGGCAAGAGGTGAGCGAACCAATCAACTCCCCAATACTAGAGATAACCAAAACATAATTTTATTGTATCTATTTGTTTTGCATTGCATCAAGATTTTTCACGTATGGTCATCTTATTGTGTTTCAAAATATTTGACCCCATGATAACGCACGGGCACAATTAAGGAGAGTGCAGTCATCCCCCGCCCCAATCTCTCGCTTGGTCTGCCAAAAATGTCAGAGATTTTGTCCTTGTTTAAGAAAAAAAACTCTCACAGTATGTTTGAAGAAAAATACCGCTGTGGTCAATTTTAACCATTGTATACCACTCCACTAATCCCAATTGCCATACGTTCTCAACTGATGAATCGAATGCCCTTCATGGATGGCAATTAACATTCATTAATTGTACTAAAAGAAAATTATTCTTGCTGCAATGAAGTAGACCCTCTAATGAAAAATCAATGCCGGTGTGTAGAACTGGAAACGTATGATGTGACTTGGTCAGTGATGCATGAAGACGAAGGATCGCATGGCTAACAAGCATGGAGGAAATATTTCCTTAAATAGTTGGGTGGGTCTCTTAACCTGTCACATTTTTAATTCCCGGAAAAAATCTATAATAAAGTAGCTAAACTTGTACCTTCACCGCATATCTCTACTAGCTTGCATCATATACTTGGGCACTCCCCGCAAAAAAAGGAAAGAAAAATCATATGCTTGGGGCAGAGGAAGTGTGAAGGGTTGTCCATGGGGTGCACTGAGCAGAGCAGTCGGAGTCGCCACACGGGCAAGTTTCTGCTCTTCTTTTCCCGGTTTGGATTAGCCCAACAGCCAAGTGTCATACTTGCCTCTTTCTACTATTCGTTTTATTTATAGCAAGGGAGAGAAGTTTAGTCTACTTTCTCCGCAAAAAAAAAAGTTTAGTCTACTTGCTCTTTGCGCTTTTTCGGTGGGCATGTATTGCTTAGAATGATTCTTCTCAGCCTCTCTACAAATTCCGTCGCTCTCATAGAGCGACCACCGAAACTAAAGTAAAAGAATGTGGGAAATACTTGTTGGTTCCTGGTTGTATCTACACTCTATATGAGAAAAAAATAATTACAAAAAAATAAAATAGTTCATAAGCTTTTTTTATAATAAACTTGATTTTCTTTTGTACTAGTATATAATGTTTTATGAATAAAAAGACCAGCGTTAACTTCAAGGCACAAAAGCAAAAAAAAATTGCTACTATAAAAACGGAAGGCCAAATGGCACTATTCACAATGTTTTGGCTGAAAAATTATCTTTTTTAGAAAAGAAGTCAAAGGGAATTTTTCTTTTTGTGGATTTTTTTCACAAGTACAATGAAAGGTCAAGTTTATTTCAAAAAAAAATCAGATTTTTTTGAATTTTTATTTAATTAATATTTTTTTCCATATAGGGTGTATATACACCCCTAAACCAAAAGTTCCCCTCCAAGAGAATGCCATTGTTGTCGAAGTACAAGAAGAAACACCCGGTTGACAAAACACTTACTCTTCACAAAAAGGATATTCTAACTGTTTAGCATCCAACTGGTTGGTCAACTTTGAGGTTACATGAACAAAAACATTCAACTCCACTTGAGGAAACATTTATTTTTTAACCCCTAAACCAAAAAAAGTTTTCAACTATAAAAACTACATAAAATCAACGTGCAACATTTTCATGGCAAGTTAAACTCACAAATCCGAGACATTTCGACGGGAAAAGAGATCAATAACATTTCCTCGTGTGCGTGCATGGGTTTTACATGGCGGTTTCTTCTAGTTTATTGTAGGTAACACAGATTGAGTGAAGTAAACGTGCTGGGCTTTCAGTTTTGGTTTTTTTGTTTTGTTTTGTTTGCTTTACTTCTCGCGTGTGGCAATTTGGACTTTTCGTAAACAATAATGTGGCTTTGCTAGCAGTAGGGTGTCTTTTGTTCTACGTTTTCTTATGTTTGCACCGCTTGATCGAGTACTTTTTGTTTAGATACACAAATACCACGGAAACTGGACCTAAGAAGCCATAGGAGAAAAAAAGACGACGCATAGTGTACCAAGTTCTTAGCGTTGCATCATCAAAACTGTACTGATACACTTAAGATAACTCTTTTCATCGAACTACCATCGCAGGTATCATAATTAGCTTTCACTTTATCATAACAAGTTCTTTTGCCGTTTATCGGGAGATAGTGGAACCCAACCTAGAAAGTCGTAGAAACAAAAAGGATGACGCAAAGTATACCAAGTCGTTGAGTTACACCAAAAAGTTTTTTTTTCAAAAGTTTCATCGTCAAATTGTAATAGCACATTTAACTCTTATTTCAACTTTTTATACAAAAAAAGCAACTCTTATCTCAACCTATCATCCTCAATCTCCTTATTAACTTTCAGTTTGCAACTTTTTTTTAGGCCAAAGCATTGAGTTTAGGTGGGAAATAGTCAGTCTAGAAACGTGTTGTGCTCGGAGAGTTCACCCTCCTTGTTTTCATCATGATCAATAACTAACACAAAGACGACCCCTAAAAAAGAAACCGCATAACACAATCACAAACTGGTGTCAAGAGATATGTATGCGAACATTTTAAAATGCACAACAAAGGCTAGCGTGTTATGTAAGGCAAGTTCTATCTCAATTAGCAGCACAAATTTAAAAGGGTAGTGGTGGTACTAGTACTAGTTGTAGCGACGGATGGATTACCCAAAGCCGAAGCTGAAAGGATCCATCCCAGATCTGGTCTGGTGGCAAAGGAAAGGAAAGGGCGGTTAAAATCCATCCGGCGAGCCAACGGAAGCCGCGGATTCCTCGCGTATCATGGCGCGCCGTACGTAGAAAGATCATCTACGTTTGTTGTTGGTATATATAAAAAAAATGAAATACGGTGGTACGCTCGTCCCCTCCGGTCAGTCGTCCATCCATCCGTCCGCCAGTGCGGTGCGGAGGAAGGGGAAGAGCTGAGCAGCGAGGAGGGGAGAGGAAGCCCTGCGCCGAGTCAATTGGGTATATAAACCCACCAACGCCTCCCTCCTGCGCCCCCCCTCTCCCCTCTTTTGCATGCCTCACCGGCCTCCTCCCCTCCACCTCCCCCGCCCCATCCGCCTCCCAATGCACCACTGCTAACCCCTGCTCCCGATCCCCGCTCCCGATCCGCGGATTCCCCGCCGATCCCGCCCGCCCCGCCGCCCGCTTGCAATCTCTGATCGGATTCTCTC